CCAAATAATCAAGAGTTCCACAGAAAGTAGTGCGTCTAGTACTTTACAGTTTTGACATTTTGTTTCGCATCAAATTATTGAAATATGCAAGTGATGAACGAACTCTATTTTCATAATGGCATTCCATACCTTTGTTGATTCGAAGGAACGTGAACCGCCCATCCAAAATCTGAAATTTTAATGGATCCATTTTTTGTTAACAGCAAATTCTCTGGCTTCATATCTCGATGAATAACATTTTTCCTTTGGAGGTAAGCGAGGGCGTCGGAAATTTGTGCGATATACTGCTTGAGGGTTTAGAAATAGAAACTCTATTCAACATATAGTCCCGATAGAAGCAAAGATTAAATAAATATACGAGCCTTTGCTGCCTCACGCTCAGAAAATTTGGTGCGTTTTAATAGGTGCTTATATAACTCTCCTTTCTCTGCATATTCTAATATTAAATAAACGCGTTCCTTGTCGTGAAAGAAACCGAATAGGCGCAAAATGTTTGGGTGTCTAAAAAAAAAATGCATTATATTTCACGCAATTAGATTAAGTAAGAGCTTCATTCCATTTTACCTCAGATGACATTGAATCTCAATTTCTCGTTTCAATTGTTCTTCAAGCTTATGCTCTCTCAAATCTCTTTTAAATATTACTTTTAGCGCAACAATTGTACCACTTTTTTTTTCTTTAGCCATGAAAACGCGTCCAAATCGTCCTTGGCCAAGAGGATCACCTACTTCAAAGTCGTCTAATGACCAGACTTTACGAGATGCATTCCTATAATAATAGAGTCAGAAGTAATATTAAACATATCAAACACCTTCAGATTCGTTAGTTTACACGTACTTAGCTTTCACAGGAGTATTTTCAGTCTGTTTTGATTGACTAGGATTCTTGACGCCATCCTTTCTTGTATGTAATTCGTGTCTGCCGAGGTTTTTGGTTTGCTCTCTTTGAACAAAGACCGCATTTTTTTCATTCCTTCTTACATTGTCTGAATCTTTTTGAGATTTCATGACTACTTTGTACTTTTCACCATCATTTCGTTTTTTGAAATAATCCGTCTTTGCATCTTGCGTGTTAACGTTTTTTTGTGCGAGCGCAATCCTCTTAGGATTGGTTCGACTAGTAAAAATACATATAATGCGGTTTATTGGAAGAAGTAGATAGCTGGTCCCTTGCTTAATATGACTAATTTGTACATACGTTTCACCTTGTCGTTCAGCCTTGAATAGACTCGATTTATTGTTTTCCTTTCCGTATATATTAGTTTCCATTTTTAAAGTGATCGAAGGGGTTTATTCCATAAAAAATATATTGAACACGCGTATTTCATTCAACACGCATTACGTCATTATTTATCATGTGACATAGGTTTTTAATGTCAATGTTTTTCGTCCCTATTCTTTTTTTTTTTTTGAAAGATGCCAAAGAGATATATATTCCTCGAAGAAGGGTGTAAACCTACTTTACGTAAAGTTCACACCTCAAACTTGTTTGACTTACTTCAACTTTCGCTTCGTGAAGAAAATTACTGTCGTGCCACCCGAATCGTTGAGATTCTGTTACAATGTCCCGAGACAAACGTTACTTTAATTTGGCAGGTTCGTATTGACGGAGACGAATTATTCGATATTATAATACCATCTCTTATGTTATAATTTCGGCTTGTGAATTTTGTTTTAATAGGCGGCTGTGGAAGTATTAACGCACTTTAATTACTCAAAAAAAGTCTGCGTGGAATTCTTCAACAAATTATTAATATACACCAAAAGTGTGGTAAGCCATTGATACGAAGTTCTACTACGCTCATAGCTGGCGTCGGCTTATATATATTAATGGAATGTAGAGTGAAATTCTGCTGGAATTGATCTTTTTCCAGATGAAGTCTGGAAATTCGGCGGAGGCACTCGAAACTCTCGAAACGTATGTTCTCAGAGATAAAAAAAAGATTCGAGATTAAGATTAAGTTGAATATATATTTTCACCTTAGATACTTACCACAAGTGCCATTCTGTGATAATCCACTTTTTCACGGTTATACAGGCTTATTGGCCTACGCACTATGGGATCATCTAGGCGTTGCTAATAATATTTCTTATATATCGTCAAATGGACGAGAGGAAGTAGAACGATCAGTTATCGAGCATGACGACGAACATATTATGGAAGGTGAGGGTTACATTCCATATAACACCTGACTAGTTGCTCAGTTGCAAAAATGTAATCAAATAAACATCGGCTTTTACTATATTCGAGATGATGAGCATCACATGGAAGAAAGAATGAGATATTACAATTTAAGTGCCAGATCTCTCAAAAAGTCTTTAGACATGGACATTAGAAATGATATGTTTTTCGTGTATTATGTTAAGGTATTCATCGCATCAACATAATATCATGATAACCCAGCCACGTTCATAGAATTAACCCATTTATAAATTAGTTATTATTAGCCGGCGAAGATTTTGAAGAAGCATTTCATATAATCGACACTTTTTGTGACAAAAATCCGCATGCTTTGACTGGCCATAGGTGTTTGATCTAAATTCTTTTTTTTTTAATAATTATGTGTGTGAAAATTTTTAATTTAAATGATGTACAATTCAACAGAATCCGCTTCGAGACCTTGTACTATCATCGAAATGAAAATGCTGAGTGGGTCAATGCTGGAAAGGAATATCATAAGATAGATCCATTAAGTCCACCTGAAAAGGTGTTGAATCCTTTGATTAATTATTATGAGAAAATTATAGGTAGAAAGTACATGGTTTGTCTACTTATCCAAAAATGTTAAATGTGCTAATCAAAGTTTAAAATCAGAGCGAAAAAAGGATGAAGAGACATTAGTCAATGCACATTATAACATAGTTGAGCTGTTTTTTCAACGTGTCGAGCATGGGGATGATAAAACTTATTACCTGAAAAAGTTACTATTTCACTTTGTTTGGTTAGAGTACGTACATCTTTTTGTTCACAAATACATTGTTATCTATTTGTGCCAATATTATGGCAATGCATATGTGGCTACATTCACTTTACATGCTTCCATTAGGTTCCTCGAATTGAAGCGCGGGTTAATTGATACCCTACTTGAAACTCGTACCAGTTGGTATAAATCGTTCACCTTGAATCAGAAACATAAAACCAGAGATCATGCTGGGCTCTACATTCTGATGACTGTTCTTTTAGGTGGTCGTTTTCACGAAAAAGAGGTCAATGCAGAGAAATTCAAAGAGCGAGTGTTGAAAGCTACGTCACTAAGCCACGGTAACCGACCAACTAAATATAGAATCGATGTTCACGAGAGCAGTTTTTCCGATCAAAGCGATAATGAAGTATCTTTCGAATCTTCGGAATTTCATTATAATGATTATGAAAAGTTCGATGAAGACTTGTCGACTGTTAAAGAAAAGGAATCAGTTCTAGATGACTTTTTTGCAGAAATCTTGAATGAAATACTACAATGAAAGATAGTCTGGTGACTCGAGGTACAATGATGTTAAAAAAAGATTATGTTTTTTTAGTTTTATTCAAATAAGTTTTCAACGATTAAATTACATACGTCTATTGTTACATCATGTTAGTAGAAGAAACAAATTTTTTGCATTATATGACAGAATTTTCTGTAAGAAGCAAATAGAAGAAAATAAAAGTACAATATGTGTGAAAGTAAAGGTACAGAATTAAATAAAAATGTTTTTTTTTAAATCACCACAAGGAGAAAATTTAAAAGTGTTCAATGTGAAACTAATAAAAACCAGTTCAAATTTACTGTCCTTTGTTTCATCATGAAGTCGGAGATCATTTTTCATTCAACATTTCGACATTCGCGATACCAATGCCACGATCTTCCTCTTTCAACTCATAGTGCTCGATAAACAATGAAAACACTAGCACGATAATCGATATGACTATACAAAGCTCAAAGTTTTTGGAGATCGCGTCAGTAATGTATGATAAAACAGCGTTTCGGTCACTAGAAAGAAGGTGACTTAATTTTTCGGGCAACAGTGTGTCGTTTAATGTGACAGTAGGTAAATTCTGAATGTGTAATAGAATTTCATTGTTAAACAGAGCGCCTGAAACTGCCATGCCAAAGGTCCAACCGCTCCCTCGGAAAAAATTGCATAATCCAGTTATAATCCTTTTTTCCCTTCCTTTCACGGCTGCCTGGGCTGGCGTGGATAAGTTTGAAAGTGACCCAATGCCAAGTCCAACTACTATCAAAGATATGGTTCGCATGATTCCTCCCGTGTCCAAGGTATAAGTTGATAACAATGCACTGCCCGCAATTAACAACAATGAGCCAATATATATGAGCCATCTATAACGGCCAGTGTACAATATCATCATGTTTCCCAGTCCCATTGATGCTATTATGCTAATGACTAATGGTAGAAGGGCCACGGCCGATGCAACCGCAGTGAATCCCAAGGCATTTTGAAGGTATATTGGAGTGAAATAGCAAACGGCCACCTGAACCCATCCCATGAAAAAGAACGCACCAAAAACCGCACGTAAACAAGAGTCGTTAAAAAAAAATCCGGGGATAACTGGTTCGGCCGCAAATTTTACTTCCAATATGACAAATGTTACTAGTATGAGTAAGCCCGATACAGACATCCCAATTATCGGAGGGCTAAGCCAAGTAGACTTGTTTCCCCCGTAGCTCAACGGTAGAATGATAAGTAACGATCCTGATATAAGCAGAAGGATGCCTAGCCAATCAACACGTTTTAGGTTTGTATGCATAGAACCGGTGAGAATTGGGACTCTAAGAAGAAGCAACAATATCACGATAGATATAATTGAGAGTGGACCATTCATATAAAACGACCATCGCCATGATAAATATTCTGCAAATGAACCACCAACAATCGGTCCAAGAATTAAGCCAAGAGCAAAGGTCGCATAGAGGATGTTGTTGAACAAAGTACGTTGGTGCATGGGCATAACATCGGATATAACATTTGGTGCCATGAAAATTATAACTCCACCGCCCAACCCCGCCAAAACTCTAGTACAAATTAACCATTGAATGCTCTGCGCTGCTCCGCACAAAGCCGAACCTAACCCAAATATAAAGATGGCCACCAAAAGTAATATCTTCTTTCCAACTACGCCTGAAAATTTCCCACACAAGGGCTGTACGATCGCCTTTTGTTTTTGACAAATGTCGATGGAAAGAATTGTTAGTCATGAGGTTTTTTTTAGTTACGACAATGATTTAAGCATCAACACTTACGCTCGAGAGGCTGTATGATATAACAATCCACGAAATATTTTCGCCTGCGTTGAATTCGATAACGATCTTGGGAATTTGATTTGCCACCAGGTTTGCATCAAGTGATACTAAGAAGAACACTAAACATATCCTTTTAAGAATTAAACAAAAAAAATAATGAGTTTAAAATACAGAATGATGATGATCTGCGAATCATATTGTCATGTCAAAATTGCTACGCACCCAATTAACAGTAGAATCTTATTACGAAGCCTAGGATTTATCATTACCAGCTGACCTTCTTGATCACTAATTATATAAGATTCTTTTGACCTTTTTGAAGGTGTAGGGGAAAACACGATGGCATCTCTCACCAAGATCCTCGAGGATATCGGTGAATCTATCCCGCCAGCTTCCATCGCGTTATCACTCTTAGGTATGATGTCACCTCTAGTCATATAAGGCATTCTAGAAATCCTTCTTGAGGCATTCGTTGCTTCTTCTACGATAGCATCTTTTGATGAACTACGTTTATGACTAGGATTGATACTTGAAGCCGAACTTCTCGGGTATTCCTTCCTTGAGAAATCATCCGTCCACCTTTCGGGTTTGTATTCATGAGTCATCAAAACGGTTCCGTCATCCATTCTTTTGACCAGATTATCTGTTTGATCCATTGAAGAGCCTGTCATGGAGTTTGCGACAGAGCCAACTTCTATATGATCATAGGAATCTGCTACAAAAGTGTTTGATCCTGATGATGGTGCAATGGTGTGATTATAATTTGGCAATGGTTTGGCATGATTTTGTTTTTGTGATTCGATAGCTTGATTGCGGTTTCGAGATTCACTAATTGAGGTCCTTGGGGATTCGGATTTTTGAGATCTCAGAGGCTCATTATATTTTGGGACCTCGGTAGTTTCAACGATGGTATTTAGATTGTTCAAAGACGCCTTTTTTATCAAAGATTCGTACTCTCTTATTTTAGCGGAGACAGCCGCGGCATTAACAGACTGCTTGGCAGCGGGCTTAATCGCATTTGGCATATTAATATAATAATCGGGAACATTGCTGAGATCCATAGTTTGTCTAAAAGGACCAAAAGGAGTTGACGGTGTTGTAAAAAATGGAGTTGAGGTTGGGGACGTGTTCAATTCATCAGTTCGATAACCCGTTTCCAGATGATTCGTCGTAGTAGCTTGCTTAATTGCACTAATTAATAGATTACAAGTGGAATCCTGAGGTGTCATATAAACTGATTGCAACGGGGAAACCGCGGAGTCTATGGATTTTGCATGGTGATGTAATTTATTATGTTGTCGGGTCTCGCTTTTGCCCTCGACAGTCAAATTGTTATTGTTGATGTTGTTGCCATTATTTGCATTATTCGAATTATTCGCATTATTCACATTATTCACATTATTCGCATTGTTCACATTATTCGTTTGGCTCATATCGTTCGTGACTTCAGTGGTTGCCTCAAAAAAAATTTCACCTTCGCTCGAGAGACTCCCCTGAGATGATTTGGACATATGTTTCACGGGCAAAGACATATATTATTTTTAGGCTCACCGTGTTGGCAAAAAAAAAAATTACGGTGAGACGAAATTAAATATGTTGGGGGAAAGAAAAAACAAAGATACTTTTTGGGGAGGATGCATAAAAATTTTCTCCTACGCTTCACGACACATCAAGAGTCGCAAGTGTATAATTTAATTTCTTGTTCAAGCCAACTCCCTTTTCTGACAGTGGATAGACAGGGCAGGTGAGAGAGAAAGAGAAGAAAACTGTTGGCTGATGATGTGTTGCAGTTAAGTGATTAGCATATATGCATCAATCTTTCAATATAAAAAAGAGTATGACTTGATGTGTCATCTATAAAGAACAATCGCAAACAAACTGTACGTGCACCACCACAAGATTACAAGATTATATAGGTAAGCACTTATTAATTCTATTTTGCAAGACATTTATTTAAGTTGGCTGATGAGCACGAAGTGGTGTACCGTTCATCAACATTTTATTTAATAATAAAGTTAAAAACTTTTTTCATTGAGTAAGCTCCTGACATCCTCACCTGGTCTCTTGCCGACCAAGATCCGATCTCTAAGCCAAATCAGAGAATCATTGTTCGAAAGAAGGTAATCAATCCAGCACGTATATTGACGTATGATAGCGATTCATGCATTTTAAAATTTATATGGCAAGCAAAACCGTTATGTTCGTGGAGTTTAGCGCATTCCTGCATATTTTGCACAACGTGGTTTACTGCATATATTTTAGAATGCTAATTAATTTATATTATTAATTAAACGTTTGTCTCTAAATGTTTGTGATACTTCTTCAACCGCCATTATGCATACATTTGATTTCTTCTTTTGGAAATGTAGAAATTAATATATTACATTTTTGGAAGGTTTATAAATTATTTAAAAATCGATAATTGGTGAGAATGGCGTACAAACAAATAAAAATGAATTTCCTTTTACGTTTAACTCACAAGTCAATTGATAAACCTGACTTAAGCTGATCCCGCAGTAGTGAACCCAATTTTTACAATTTGAACTATCAAGTTCCGTATTGCGCTTTGTAAAAAGAAGGTGGTAGATTTTCCAGAACCATGGCGAATGGTCTCTCGACAACAACCATAGAGTTTGATTCAATGAAATCAACAAACAATAAAGGTTGATACCTATAGACAAGCTGAAAATTGATTTCACCTTCATTATCGGATTTCTTTCTTTTCTTCCTATATTTTTGACGATTCTGCAGTTTCTTCTGCCATCCGTTACAGTGGGACAAAAGCAATGGTGCTTCTTTGCACCTTCCAAAGTCGATCAGACAAAAATAATTTGCTGCCCAAAGTATCATGACATTACTGTTTTCGGGATCAAAAGCGCATCCCATGATCCTGTTCTCAAGCCTTAGGAACTCATTTGGTAAGTTTTGAGAGTGTTTTTGTGACCAATCAGTGAGCTTCCCAGATTCGACGTCAAAAATCAAAAATTCATTAGATGCCAGGGTGACCACTAGACTAGGAACGGATGGATGAAAAGTCAATGACGTATGAGTAGATGAATACTTGGGAAGAGTTACATGGTGCTATTTTCACAACCATTAAAGAGGGGAGATAGTTAATCGTTAATAACGAAAGATCGCTTTTATATCATAATTAAAATAAAATGTTCGAACAGTTTACCTCCAGACCATCTAAATTATAAATGTTGATTCTATTTAAAAGATCACCTGTGGCCATCCATTTTCCGTCGCCATTAATGGCTACTGAAATAACCGTTGCCACTGACTCACTGTCTAATGGTCGCGCATGTTGATTAAACTTTTTTAAAACTTTTATTTCATTATGCTGCCAGCCTTCAAGTTCGGAAACCACAATGGATGAATCGGCATAAACTACGATAAGTTTGGACCCGTCTGGTGTGAATAATAACTGGTGCGCTCCGACTCGACGGCCGTCTACGACATTTTGAGGAAATTTTACCTTGCGAACCGCTATCTTTTCAGGATTTGAAATCTGAAAGCGAAAAAGTGTTAAATTACTTCCTATTTTATGAAAAGCCTGTAGGAAAGTATCAAGGCATACATCTTTTTGCACTTTGAAAACTTTGACGATCTCAATGTCTGCCACAGCAATCCACTCGCCATCCTCGGATATGGCACTTGCAGTAAGATAAAAATTACCCTGTATAATAAATGCATCAGTAAAGGAAATGACACAAACTTTTACCTGATTCAATAATCGGTGTGTAATGGGTTTCTGACCTTATTCAACTTTTAAAATATTTTTACCTTAAATGACATTTCCAAAATGGCTTGTTGTGGTTTCATTAAATCCAAACGCGGAATCTGTTCAAGCTGCCAAGAATCTGATAGCGCGGCTGTTACATTAATATGTCACGAAATATTATTATTTGACTCATTCTTGGGAACGAAAGTCGCGAAAAAAACATTGAAAAATCACCTTCACCCAACTTCCACAACTTTATTTGATTGTCGTTACGATACATCAACAGACGTTTTGATTTCGAGATGGAAATTAAAGGTTTTTGGGGGACAAAAGGTAATCTTCGAATATTACCCTGAAGAAAGTTGTCAAGAGGATAAACTACCATTACAGCATCTACGCCTATAAATATTTTAAAATAAAAATATTAAATTCACGCTTTACTATGGCCACGATGATATACGTCGTGTGCAACTATTAAAAATACGACCTCCAGAAACAAGCGCTTGATCCTCACTCAGCGCGATTGACCTCACGTCATGCAAATGCGATCGGCGAAATCCTGCCAGAACCCATGGGTCTATTTTTTTACTATCACCTTCATCCACGATACCGGAATCAACAAGTCGGAATAAAAAACATTTGCGATCGACACCAGAAGAGAAGACGATGGTTCCTTCCTGCGTGTGCAAAAAGAAAATGAAAGTCGATTAATCTACAAATAGTTTCATGTCCATCACGGAAAAGACAAAATGATCAATTATTAAAAAGCTACTTGATTAGATGCCAAACAGAGCACGTCTGCATCGTGCGCGTTGAACTTCTGCTGCATAACACCAACTTTTTCATCCCAAAAACAAACGTGACCTAGGGAATCACCACTAACAATAGTACCATTTCTGGTACCATTCCTCAAGTAAGTAATTGTGAATAATATAAGATAGGAAGATGAAACAGCTAACACTCACCGAAGAACATTAATCGCCCAAACAATCGTGTCTTTTTTCTTTAAAGTATCTACTGTCATCCTTTGGTTTATGCGTGCTTAATCGGAAAAGGTAATCAAGTTCAGCTATTTTACTGATATGTCGTCCAAACATATTACTAGCGCTTACCCTCGGAAACGTCCCATCTCACGATACAACTGTCTGATGAGCCAGTAACTATGAATTTATCATCAAAACTCCAAGCCAACGACATAATTCTGGCTTCGTTTCTCACGAAATTCCTTTTTAATATTAATTCTCCATCGGTAATATCAAATATACGTACGCCACCATCTTCGCAACCGACTGCAAGCAAAGTATTCGCGTTATTATTTTTCATGCTCCAAACCGCCCCACCGTGTGAATCGATCGATTTCTATGTGTTTACTATGTTGTTTAGACAAAGCTTCAATATACACGTAAATTCTAGAAACTAACAATGCTCTAAAACCTTTTGTTTTAATGTCGTCGTATCCCATTCAATTATCAGCCCATTGGAACTTCCGGAAAATAACTTTAAAAGTTCGCTCCTTAATTCGTTCGAGACTCCTTTTCGTTTGGATTCCGTTCGAAACGTGAGATTATTCGAATGGGGAAAAGTCGTCTGATGCACCCAGATAAGGGCTTCAACAGACGCGCCTTTTTCTCCAGGAATTGTCTTCAATATAATCGCAAAATTGATATAAGCGCGCAGCTGCGAAATTATAAGAATAAATATACTGAGCTTACTCTCTCTAAATTCCATTGTCCTTTAGGGTTCCATATTTCAATGTTTCCGTTCGCTCGACCGCAGGCAAGAAACGGTTGAGTTGTGGGAGGCGTAAAAGCTAGACAATTGACAGCCGCAGGCATAAAATCAACGAAACGGCATCTGTGAACAAACATTATTCGTCTCCAACACGGTACGTGTTGTATGTCGATCAAAAAAAAAAAAAAGAAAATTTTTGTCTGGGACAACGGTGTCACGTAGCACGAATTTAATCTCGATCTTTTGGCGATCTACATAACATTATTCTTTTACCATGAAAAATTTGTTGATTTTAACTGAAAGAATTCCATTTCGAAGAATACTAACGAAGAATGTCAAAGTAGGAACTAATTTTAAGACGCAAAGATGTCTTGCAAGCCTTGTTCAAAAGGACGCACGAAAGAACGCGGAAATTGACTTTACCGCTGAGAAATACACCCACCTGCAAAGAAATCCAAATTTCAGTGAGGTAAAGTACACACATGTATACTTATTGTGTTCATTTCTTATTATTAACATTTTATTCTTAAAATTTAGCTTACACAAGAAGATATCTCATTTTTTCAAAAAATTCTACCTTCCAATTGTTTAATTATAGATAAGCAAGATGATCTGTTGCCCTATAACATCGATTGGATGAGAAAATATCGAGGAAAATCAAGATTGGTTGCCAAACCCCAGACCACTGAGCAAGTCTCAAGATTGATCGAATATTGCAATGGTAGAAAATTAGCTGTTGTACCTCAAGGTGGTAATACAGGTCTTGTAGGTAAGGTGGTATAACGAATTAATTATTTTAAGCTAGCTGGGCATGTAATCAAAAAACTTTTCTGCTAGGTGGTGGTGTGCCAGTCTTTGATGAAATTATTATTAGCACTAATAACCTGAATAAAATTAGATCCTTTGATCCTTTATCTGGTAAGATTATTTTTTATTTAATGGATTAAAACAATGCCTTATTTATTTCTTATGTATCTTTGTTTTATCATAAAAGGTTCGCTTGTGTGCGATTCTGGCTGCATACTTGAGAATCTTGATAATTATCTTGCTGAGCAAGGATACGTTATGCCTCTAGATCTTGGCGCTAAGGGAAGGTACGACAAGTTTTTCGTTGGTATCCTTGTCACTATATAGATGTCAGTTTTTTCATGAATTTTATTATTAGCTGTCAAATAGGTGGTAATGTGGCAACTAATGCTGGTGGATTGAGGTTTTTAAGGTACGGTTCTCTTCACGGAAATGTACTAGGGTTGGAGGCGGTACGTATATGATACATGTCACCCCTTTGGTTACATTCTATTTAATTTTATTGATAAAAAATTATGATAGGTCCTTCCCGACGGGACCATTTTAGATAACCTTGCAACTCTTCGTAAAGACAATACCGGTAAGTTTGTAGAACCACATGTCATAGGATGGTATATTTATGCTCATCGTTTATTTTATTTTATTTATTTCACTAGGATACGACTTAAAGCAACTTTTCATTGGTTCTGAAGGTACATTGGGAATAGTTACTGGTGTTTCGATTCAAACTCCTCGAAGACCAAAGGTTCTTATTTACTGTTTTTTTTGGATGAATGTTATATATCTTTTTATCAATTGTTTACCTACGCCGCAATAACAAAATAGGCAGTTAATGTAGCCTTGGTTGGTTTGAGCTCTTTTGAAAATGTTCAAGATGCGTTTATTAAAGCAAAGGAAGAATTAAGTGAAATCCTGTCCGGTAACTAGAAACATTGACTATATTTGGAATTCTTTCACTGTTACGTTTACTGTTAAAGTTTCTTAAATCGATGTATATTGCAGCCTTCGAATTTTGGGATGCCAGTGCCGTGAAATTGATTAAGGATCATCTCGTTCAGGGATCAAGGTTTCCTTTGGAAGACAATTATCCCTTCTATGTATTAGTTGAATCCAGTGGATCTAATAAGGTTCACGATGATGAAGTACATAGAGTCCTTTACACCTTTATTATTATTATTATTATTATTTTCTTTTGCGATAATAATATCATATTTTTATTGTAAACCAATTTCTTAGAAACTGTTGTGCTTCCTGGAGAACTTATTAGAGAAGGATATCGCCAAAAATGCCATCGTTGCACAAGATGAAACACAATTCCGAACAATTTGGTCTATTCGCGAAGGAATACCAGAAGCGTGTAGTAAAGCTGGATCCGTGTATAAATACGATGTATCCATGCCATTGGAATTTCTGTATAAGATGGTAGAGGATGTGCGTTGCAGATTTACGGATGCGGGACTATATGGTGAAGACTTGGCCGTAAATAGCATTACAGGATACGGTCACGTTGGAGATGGTGAATTGATAATTTTTCTATTACTTACTATTTTATTTTATTTTCCTTTCGTTTTAACCATTAACCGTTGATCTAGGTAATTTACACTTAAACATTTCTGCAAAAAGCTATGCCCCTGAAATCACTGCTTTAATCGAGCCTTGGATATATGAATGGATAGAAAAACATAAGGGATCTATATCCGCAGGTAACTAAGATCAACCCATTTACATTTTTACAGGCATTCATTCACGATTGTTTTTATACTGGTAGAACATGGTCTTGGACTCATGAAGGCAAAGTATTTGGGTTTTTCGAAATCAAAATCGATGATCGACATGATGAAAAAAATAAAGCAAATAGTAGATCCCAATGGCATTATGAATCCATATAAATTTATATCCGATTAAATCGGCGTATCTTCAGCATTATTGCATGCACATCATAACAGCTTTGGACTACATAATCGAACTTCCAGCAGAAATTCCTGCGAACAATTTTGTGATTTATATAGTGTTCGATCTACACCAAAACATTCTAAATTGTCTCCTTATATTTTTTTACCCACACCATTTGTCTTGATCCCATTATTATCATTGCATTTCCTAATTTATAAAAAACAAAGTACACTGCATAATTCACATTCAACTTCTGGTTAAGTTATAATTTTACAGTAACCGTAAATAAAATTTTTTTGTATTATTCGATTTATTTATATTGATTTTATTTTTTAATTTATTTTTTTTATAAAAATATTTAAAATACTAATTATTTCAAGCAATTTAATAATTTCAACATAAAAATCTTAATACTCTATACAAAAATCCTCAATGACTTTTTTTTATATTGATATCACCATTAGTTAATTCAATAAGAAAAATTATTCTTTAAACTATCGAAATATCATTTGTATAATTTTCACAATAAACGTGTTTTCCAAAAAGTATCATCAATGATTTTGGGAGACCTGTTTGTAAAAAAGTATGTGAAACTTGCTATAATTATAAAAAATATACTGCACATTCTATAAATATATTTATGATCTTATCTAGACAAAGAAATTCATTTTGAAACATTTATTATTTTCAAAAAGTGTATTAGAAAGCAACACTAATAATTTCAAAAAAAAATTACATACTGTACCTAGAATTCAAAATTCATAGCTAAAAATAATATGCCGCACCTAATTATTTTTAAAAAATTTATTAAAATAACTTATATGTGCATATTTTAAAAATTAATTTAAGTGATCCCAAAAAAAAAATTGGGTTCGCATAACCTCGCATGCACGCATACATTAAAAAAATGATACAGTGTTCTACTTGTTCCAAAAGATTTTTTAAGAAATTCATCATTGATATCCCATACAGATGAAATTGAATTGCACATAAAAAAAAAAATCTTTTTTATTTTAAATTCAATTTTAAAGTTACATAAGCTTTGCTCTTTCAACATTTCCCAAAAAAAATCGGGTAAGTGATATAAGTTCATCGGATATCACTGTGCAAAATGGCCAACATATTTTTCCTCTGAGGCAGTTGGATGACAGACTGGCTTCGCTTCGAGCTAGCACTATTCTGATCGTCTTTGTGGTATGGAGAAAAGTATAAATTGTGGCTATGAAGTACGAATCCAATTAAATTTCTTACATACATAATTCATACATAATTTATCCTCATTTGTTCCGCGTCAAACTAAAGAAAAATGGCAAGAACAAAATTCCGACCATGCATTGACTTACATAATGGTCAAGTAAAACAAATAGTCGGTGGTTCGTTGAATGAATCGAACCCGGATGAATTAAAAACGAATTTTATATCGAGGTAACATCGAGGGATTATCTTCTGTTTATGAGATTACCTTGCTAAGAATCGAATTGTTGAACAGCGAGAAACCAAGCTATTATGCTGAACTCTACAAAAATAATAATTTGACTGGCGCGCACGTGATCAAACTAGGTGCTGGGAACGATGAAGCGGCGAGAGAGGCTCTAGGAGCTTGGCCTGGTTTGAATTTTTTTTTTTTCTTTCTCATTATAGGTTCATTGACTTTAATGGAAATGTTTATCTTAGGTGGTCTACAAATCGGTGGCGGAATTACCGTTGGTAATGCTGAGGAATGGCTTAAAGCAGGAGCCGAGAAGGTAAAATAAAATTTATATAACGAAAAACAATCAAATGAGTTATTTAAGCTATCGACTCGCTTCATCGAATAGGTAATCGTTACATCCTATCTTTTTCCTGATGCGAAATTTTCGCTTTCGCGATTACAAGAATTGTGCGAAAAACTTGGCAAAGAAAAGATCGTTGTCGATGTTAGGTATGATTTGTTTGTAAAATTAAGATGCCTTTGATATTTTTAATGTATTTTACATCATCTGTTTATATAGTTGTCGTAGACGAGAAGAAAAATGGATCGTTGCTATGAATAAATGGCAGACTATGACGGACATGGAAGTAAACAAGGGTATTTATATTCATTTTAAATTTCAGATTATTCATGACAATCAGCTAATTTTTTTTTTAAGAATCGTTGGATCTATTGGCCAATTATTGCAGGTTTAACAGAATATTCCTCAAAACTTTTGTTTTTTTTTTTTTTTTTTTTGAAAAAATTGTATCTGAATTTTTTATAGTGAATTCTTAGTTCATGCCGCGGATGTAGAAGGATTGTGTCAGGGAATTGACACCAAGCTTGTGGAACGTATGTAGTCTTTATCTTTGTCATTCACATTGCATAGCACTAAAAAAAATTTGATTAAAAGGTCTGGGCGAATGGACTACAATACCAACAACCTATGCAGGAGGTGCAAATTGTAAGACCTATTTAAGAATCGGTGCAGAAATATCATCAGAAGTGACATGAAGGATAATCTATTTCATTTTTTCAAATATAGCAATTGCTGACCTTGAATTGGTTAACAAACTATCAAATGGAAAAGTGGATTTAACCTTTGGGAGGTAATATAAGATTTTGATACAAAATTTGACGTATAAAATTGAAAACGAACTAAACCCAAATCAATCACCATACTATTTCTCCGAATAGTGCATTGGATATTTTCGGCGGAACAAAAGTGAAATTTGAAGATTGTGTTAAATGGAATAAAAATGTTAATTAACTTAATGATTCTTTTTTTACTATCCTATCTATTATATTTTTTTATTTACATTTTGAACAGCAGTATCTTATTAGTTAAAAAATTTTTATTGTATTTAATTTTTAAAGTATTCATATTAAATTTATAGTTTTTGTATTTAATTTTTAAAGTATTCATATTAAAGTTATAGTTTTAAATAAAACAATTCACTAATAATTATTATTATAAAAATTAATTTTTATATTTTATAAATTTGGTTTTATTTATTTTATTTTATATTATTATTTATTTATAAATTATTGAAATATTATTATTTATATATAGATTATTGAATTTTTAATAACATTTTTTTTTAATATTAAATAATATATTTTTATAATATTTATTAATATAACAAATGCTTATTTTATTATACAATTAATATTAAAATAGTAAAATATATTGTTATATATATTAATATATTATCTGTTAAATATATTTTAAAAAAAACATAATGAAAGAAATAATTATTTAATTTTAAAAAACAAAAAAATAATTTTTTTGTTTTAAGAATATAATCAAATTAATTGATATTAAATTAAATTAAATTAAATAAAAAATTTTGAAAATAAAAAAAATATTTAAATTTTTATTATAAGAATAAATAGAATGATATAACTAAAACTTTTAATTTTTTTATTAATCAAAATCAAAACTAATAATTATATAAAACAAAATTATATAAAAAAACCTTTAATCTAATTTTATTAAATACAGTGGTGGCAAAAAAAAATGACAATTTCTTTTCATTTGTAAAAAATTTTATTATGAAAAATTTTATTATTAAATTAATATTAATATTAATTAAAAATCAATTTATTACTATTTTAAAATAATAATAATATTTTTTTAATATTAATAGAATTATATATAATTTTATTTAATTTTTGTTTTTTTTGATATTAATTTTTATTAAGTTCAAATGTTTAGAAGTCTATATATTTAAAATTTTATTAAATATTCTAAAAAAAAATTTTATAGAAAAATTTTATAACTCTATAAAATTA